TTTCTTCTCTTATGTTGAGCACATTTAAAAATAATAATAATTTATCCCTTCTATCTAAACTATGAGATCTGAAGTAGGAAAGGGGAGCACAGGAATTGTAGTGAGTGATATAAGCAGGGTGAAAGAAAACAGTCAAATAGGGGTTGCATCACCCCACATTCCCCCACTTTTTCTTCTTTTATGTTGCTCCGTTATCTAGTTATCCCTCTAGTACAGGAAAACCTAGTGGGAGCAAAAACCTGATATACAGGAGAAATTCAACCCAGCGTCCCTCCGGAATAGTTCCCTCAGCGACACAAGTTCTCCTGTACTTTCCTATGGCTGTCAATTCACATATTATACAGAGTGTCACAAAAAAAACAGAACTTATAGAATTTAGGTGAGTGTGTGTGTGCAATGTTAAACTTTATTGAATGTATGAGAGAGAGAGAAAAAGAGAGAGAGAGAAACAAAAACAAAAAACAAATAAACAAACAAACAAACAAATATCCCCCTTTTCAAGTTTCTTACTCATCTATTTCATTGCCACACAAAAGTATACTAGCGGCAAAGTTTGTAGGACTGGATGTGATATTTGCAGAATTCCATACTCTCAATCCAGTTCCGACTCCTCCCAGTAGAGCTGTAAATTGTCCCATTTTTCCTGACACCCTGCTTTGCCTAAAACACTGTCGCCGTTGTTCCGGACACCTTGGAGGAATAGAAGGATTATTAAAATATAGACTGTAAACTTCTCCCTTATTTGGAGTATCTTCTGGCTGTATTGCCTGTCTCCCATCCCTACTGTGATACAGCGTATACTTATCCATCCTGTAACAAGGATCCACTACCATCTTCTGTTGACACACATCATCATCCTAATACAGCTTTGCCTTGCTCTGTGGGAACACTAGATCTCATCATTAGAATGGAATAGCTAAATGGGAGACTGGAAGACTGAGAGAAATAACAAAATAAAAGAAAAACAAACATACATATGAATGTAGAGAGCAACACAAAATGATGAGTGTTATTGATTGCTGGGACCCTCCAATTGGTCAATCTTTTCCTCCTCTCTCAACTGTTCCCTCAGCGCTTTCAGGTCTGCCTCCAATCTTTCAGTCTGTCTCTTTAGGTCCCAGTAGTCTCTATTCCCTTCTTTATTCCTCCAATTATCCCAATTCCGTCTATTGGTCTAATGCTAATCCCATCTATGGTTCCTTCTCCAATTATTCTCTCAATAACTGTTGTTTCTCCGTTTTTCTCCCCAATTGTGATTTTCCCAGTTAATATCTGTCCTTTTTAGCCTCTCCCAGGTATTTTTATTATTCCAATTATTGATTACCTTAGGCCCCTCCCATCTATTCCTCGAATTATCTCCCATTACATTCCTATGGTCCCTCTGTGGATCTCTCCATCTTTTGTCAAAGTCCTGTTTTGGTCTCCAGTTCTCATTATCCCTCTTGTTCTGGGGTACATCCCACCTCTGGCTTCTCCATTTACCATCTATATCTCTACCAGAGTCGAGCTTGAATGTTCTTATGGCTGAAACAGAGAAGGCTTGTTCCGAGGAAGGATGCTTCATCCACCAATTGTCAGCTCTAGTTAGTACCATTTCTAAGTCTGCTGGTGTTGGATCAAAAAGCCTCACAAATTCTTGACACTCCCAGGGAAGGGCTTCCATTACTTTAGTAATATGTTGTGGTGAGCCCAAGACCAGAGGCTGTTGAGGTTGGTGTAGCGTATACCAGAACAATATCATTTGAGCTACCTCTCTAGGACCATCTGCTGGACTCATCATAATATTAACTATTTCTTTCTCTATGCTGAGTAGATAGAAAATCGTTGCAGCAATTCTTCCTGCCTGGTCAGATACACTGTTATTAAATCCAAATAGTCTGCTAGCCAAAGGACCCATAGCATATTCTAACAGTTCTGTCCATTCTTCTAAGTTAAGACCTCCTTTTTTTGCTCTATTTGCTCCCCTCATAAACCAATGTGTAAAGGTGTTAAAGTCGTCAGTTGGCATACTTCCCCACCATTTCTGGAAATTATCTTTGTCTGTGATTGACATAGTCCTTGTCTGTCTAGAGAAGCTAGTAGGCATTTCTCTTACATTAAAATGTTCCGTTATTATTACAGGGGCTTGTGGGACACAATTTACAATTGGCACATTTCCCTTGTTTTTTGTTCCCAGCACTGGTTCTTTACTTTCAGATATAAAATAAGACTGGTCTGGGCATACTCTAGGAATCTCCTTATCCCATTTATTTGTGTTTTCTTTAATTTTCATTTTATATTCCATGACTAGGTTTTGGAGTTCAGTGATCTTAGCACAATATGCATCTCTCTGTTGTTCTATTTCTCTTAACTCCTTTTCATGTTCCCCAACAATTGTAGTTGTTCTCAAAGCTGCAATTTTTAAACAATCCCTTTTGTCCATTGCTTCCTCCATTTTATTTGTTGTTTCCAAATTATGCTGCCGTAATTCTACAACTAAGTCTATAAGGCCTCCTATTGTGGCTACAACAGCTTGTGTGACCAAACTTTTTCTTTTCTTTGTTCTATACTTTTTGTTATTTACCATTTGTGTTAGAACATCCATTAATCTCTCCTCTTTTTCACTGTCTGGGTTTGCTGGCTCTGGAAGCACATATGGACCATCATGTTTTTGAATATGTTTCCTAAAGTACTCACGCACTTCTGTGGAAAAGTATTTGGCCCCTTGAAAAGACATTCTTACTCTTTTACTCACCCAAGTAAGAACCCAATTTAAATCAATTTGCAACTAAAGTATCACGCTTCTGAATAGCCAACACTAGTTGATGTCTATTCAGTAGGCCCGGTGTAAATAGAGAAAACAAAAACCAAAACTCAACTATCTTTGTATGCTAAACACAATGGGTGGGGAACACAATATCCACAACTCTACTGTGAAGCTTGACTTAGGATTTGGCCTAAACACACGCCCAGTTTTGTTATATGTAGCACAATGGACTAGTATCCACAATGCAAATTATATTTACCTTAGTATGGTGAAGGTAATACTTGCTAATTAATTTCAAAACCAGTAGTGCCAAAATTAGCATATTAAAATATAACAGCAAGGCCTGGAGGGTAGGAGTTATACCTGAACTAGGATATTCAGTCACATAAAGTATGGAAGCCTATAGTGTATTAAAATGCAGGCCTGAAATAAATAAAAAAAATTATAATTTATCTAGGCCTGTACTATGATAGAATATTTGAAACACACAAAAAAACTTTATTATACCTTTGTTTTATGTAGCAAAATACGCTGGTACAATATAAAGGATTAATATATTCAAAATTGAGGCCTATGCTGTTAGTGTAATCAAATCAGCATTCAAATACAAAGCGAAGCCGCATGGAAGCCTATTGTAATGCAGGGCTAGGCCTGTATTCTGATGGTCAAAACCCAATAAAACTCAACTCAGGTATTTCAAACACACAAAAAAAATGAATAATATATTCAAAATTGAGGCCTGATGCCCAAGCTTGTATATTAAAAAGGAGGCATGAACTAGGATACAAAAGAATCAAATCAGCATTCAAATACAAAAATAAGCCGCATGGAAGCCTACTATAGTGTATTATAATGCAGGGCTCGACCTGTACTCTGACACAACACAAAACACAACAAAACTCAACTCAGATATTTGAAACCCACAAAAACAACCTGTATTAGACCTGTGTTTTATGTATCAAAATAAGCTAGTATAATATAAAGGATTAATATATTCAAACTTGAGGCCTATGCTGGTTCTGTATTAAAATAAAGGATTAAAAACAATAATATATTCGAAATTGAGACCTATGCTGGTAAGGCCTGAAAAAAATACTAGGCCTGAGCTATGGTCTGGTGCCTGTCTGGTGCCATTTGTGATTGCGAATGGCCTGGATCGGAAGCCCGTGTTATATACTTTGGCCGTTGGGTTCGAGTATAGGGCCATTATGCTATTTTGGAAAGGAGGGGGGAACCCCATTTTGGATAGTACCTCTGTCATACACGTCCAGTTGAGGCGATCGAACGCTTTTTCAGCGTCTAGCGCTAGTAGTATGCCCTGTTGTTGGGACGATTGTGCCCAATGTATTAGGTTTAAAAAGTGTCGGGTGTTGTCACCTGGTTGCCTAGACGGGACAAAGCCAGCCTGTGTCTAGTAGTAGCGGTTTGTTACGGGAAGCTAGCAGCATTGCATACAGTTTGGTGTCCGCATTCAGCAGTGATATTGGTCTCAGGTTTGCGCATTCTGTTGGGGGTTTCACTGGCTTAGGTAGCGTTATTACATGCGCTAGGAGCATTTCCATCGGGATGTGCCCTGTATCCTTGATATTGTGGTGTATCACCAAATTAATATATATATTACACAAGGTTTGTCTACATTAAAAGGTATTTATTAAAAGGCAACAACACAATACTATAAATGTATCACAAACACACAGCCCAGACCCATGGAGCAACAACCCTTTTTAAATCTATCTATCTATATAGTAATCCCCTTCCCCACAAGTTTGATCTCACCCACGGTTAGGCCTTCACATCTAGTAATGGCTCACTGGTGCAAGTTCAACATCACATCCACCAAGGAAGAAAAGGAAGCAACAGAGAGTAACATGGTTCACCATGATAGCACATGGCATCTGCACATCTGCTCTGTAGCACAGCCAAGAAGGAACAGAGAGGAATGGAGAAAGGGGGCAGTGGTTATCTCTTTCCTGACTTGTAAAGGTATTGAATTACCCAGTTACCATTTCAAAAGGTAAAGCTTATCCCACTGTACATGAGCTTGGTCACGTGATCCCTGGTCACCATATTAGTTTGATGACAGAATGTCACCACAGATATGATTAAATAATTTGTTAAGGTGCGGTGTGAGTTGTGTGACAAGTGTTGTGCAGAAGGAGTTGGGGAATCCATCCGGGCCCGGTGCTTTTCATTTGGGAAGAGAGCATATGGCATTTTGCACTTCTTCCTCTGAGAACGGTGTTAGGATCATTCGTTAGTAGGGGTAGGTCTTCTTCCCGTAGGAAATCAAGGATTTCATGCTTGGAAGGTTGGTGGGTGTCATTAGCTTGGTGTAAGTTGTAAAGTTTGTCGTAGTAGGTGGCCAGTTCTTCCACTTGTCTTGGGGATTGTTTAGTTTTGTTTTATTAAGTGATGTCATATAAGGTAATTTGGACTGTAGGTATTGTGTTTTTAACCGGCGTGCTAGTATTTTGCCAGCTTTGTTACCTTGCATATAATGAGTTAGGTTGAGCTTATGCATTTGTCTTTCCATAGTGGTTAGGGAAAGCGCGTGTAGTTTAGAGTTTATTCTATTGATTCGTTTAGTTAATTTTATTGAGGGGTTGAGTTTATTTTTGTCTTCCATGTGTTTAAGGTCCTCTAGTAGGCTCTCTCTTTCCCTTTTTCCCTTCTTTTTGCGCATCGCTCCTGCTTGTATAAGGAGGCCCCTAACTACTGCTTTGAGGGTCAGCCATTGTGTCGGTATGGTAGATTAATCGCTAGCATGGTCCTGGTAGAACCACCGAATAGTGTTGATTAGTTTTGTTATGAGATCTGTCTCTCTCAGCAATGTGTCGTTAAGTCTCCAGGTACTTCTACCTCTCACTGGATATAGGGTTTTAAACGTAGTAATGACTGGGGCATGGTCTGACCAAGTCCTCTGCCCTATTGTTACGTCTGGTACATTATGCAGTGTCGTTTTGTCGACTAGGCACATATCTATGCGTGAATATGTATGATGTACTGGCGAGAAGTAGGTGTAGTCCCTCCCACTTGGGAATATGTTGCGCCATGTATCATAGAGATCGTGTGTGTGGAGGAGTATGGAGAGTTTTCGGCTTAGGGAGGTGGCCTGGTGTAGGGGCTGTGTATCGAGCTATTACTGAGGTCCTTAGATACACACTTCTATCCTGTAAGAGTTCCATATTTGGGGGTGGGGGGGGATTTCTATGTTCTGGGGCAATACATTTTTGGTTTTAAACAGTATTATATATATTATTTTTTTGCTTCAGGGTATATCCTGCACATTACGTGGTTCATCATTGCTGAACACAGGATCCATACCACCTTTCACACAAGTGGATATTTTTTACAGACTTTTTATTATCATCACCTAAGCTTTACATATAAGACTATTTATTTGTGATACTACAGTTTTGGTCACATATTTATTTTTCCCTTATATTATTTTAAAGGGGGTTATCCACTAAGTGCTGAAACTATCTGTACAAAATGTATCTTTAGAATTTGGGAAATTGTTTACCTGTTTTAGCAGCTGGTGATTATTGTGTACATTGGGTACAGCTTTTGATGCACTTTTCACTATTTAGATAGGTAATATAACTAGTGAGCTATTTTATCGAATAGCCTTTGTGTAAAGACGCAGCCAACTTTATTATTATTTCTTTGCGCTCTCTTTCTTGCATTTGTTGTAGTGGTTTAATATAACAGTGACTGAGTCACACCACACAAAAACAAAAGTTTTAAACTTTAGAAAAACAGACTTTTCTAAAATTAAAATATGTGTAAAGGAGTCATTATCAGACTAGAGCAATTTAAATGTAGTCCAAGAGAAATGGGATTATTTAAAAGTTTCACTTCTGAAGGCAGCAGAAAATTACATTAGGCTTGTCAGTAAAAGCAAAAAAATTCACGAAACCGCTGTAGTACTCCACAGATGTGGCCAAAATAGTAAAAAACTAAAAGTTAGCATTTAGTAATTATAAAAAACACAGTTAGGAAGACAGAATGATCTATACAATTAGGCAGAAAGAGGCTAAACAAGTTATAAAAGCTTCCAAATCACACACAGAAGAGAAAAGTGGACAAAACATTTTTTTTAGATATATAAATGAGAAAAGTAAAGTAAAACAAGGATTAGTAAGATTTAAAACAAAAGGAAGGCATGTAGAAGAGGATAAAGGTCTAGCTTACTGCCTCAATGTTAGGAAAAAGGACAAATGAGGTTCTATTTTAACTGTCATAAGTAAAGACAAATAAGTCAATGGGACCTGATGGAATACACCCCAAGTTATTAAAAGTGCTTAATGGTGTACTAGCAAAATCATTAACAGATTTAATTTACCAATCATTGTTAACAGGAATAGTCCCAGAAGATTGGAAGTTAGCGAATGTTGTGCCCATTCACAAGAAAGGTAGTAGGGAGGAGTCAGACATCTATAGGCCAGTAAGCCTTACTTCAGTAGTGGGAAAAGTAATGGAAACCATTTTAAAGGATAGGATTGTTGAACATCTAAAAGCACATGGATTTCAAGATCAGAGACAACATGGGTTTACTTCAGGGAGATCATGCCAAACTAATCTTATTGATTTTTTTGATTGGGTAACTAAAATAATAGATCAGGGTAGTGCAGTAGACATTGCTTACCAAGATTTCAGTAAGGCTTTTGACACTGTTGCACATATAAGGCTTATCAATAAACTGCAATCTTCAAGTTTCAATCCCAATATTGTTGAATGGGTAAGACAGTGGCTGAGTGACAGGCAACAGATGGTTGTAGTCAATGGAGTATATTCAAAGCATGGGCTTGTCACGAGTGAGGTACCTCAGGGATCTGTACTTGGACCCATTCTCTTTAATATTTTCATTAGTGATATTGCAGAAGGTCTTGATGGTACGGTATGTCTTTTTTTGCTGATGATACTAAGATATGTTAAAGGGTTGAATTTTCCAGGAGGGATAAGCCAAATGGCAAATGATTTAGGTAAACTAGAAAAATGGTCAGAGTTGTGGCAACTGGCATTTAATGTGGATAAGTGCAAGATAATGCATCTTGGACATAAAAACCCAAGGGCAGAGTACAGAATATTTGATTGAGTCCTAACCTCAACATCTGAGGAAAGGGATTTAAAGGTGATTATTTCTGATGACTTAAAGGTAGACAAACAATGTAATAGAGCAGCATGACATTTGCACTGTCGTTATTCGGCATGTGCTATAAACTTTAACATTAATAATACACGGACACATTTAATACTGTTGGAGTATAATGTCCACAGCTTTATTAATATGAATTAATTAACATAATTAGGGTCATTGTCATAAATGACATTATTTACTATCCCCCCGCACAATCCCCTGACAATGACCCTACCACATGAACAATAATTAACATCAATTACCAATAAACTTGTAAACATCCGGCCTACCAACGAGGCCCCATATCATAATGATAACTGTAGGGGTGTACCCAGACACCCCTACACCCCCAGGTTCGTCGCCACCGAAGAGCTAGAACCTACCAACCATGACACCGTCTGGCCTACTTCAGCCTAGGCCCTGGCCTGTACAGTTCCAATTCCCTGATAACTTCCAACTTAACCACGCCCTGTTCCCGCCGCTGTGACAAAACGGGAAATTCACCTCAAAACAGGGAGGGTGGGTGGGACAACTAACAGGTAAGTGAAGTTCTGATTAAAATGGCCACTCTCTAAGATGGCCGTTATTTTAACACCTTTTAATCCCGCCCCCAAGCTCCATTAGCTTAAACCCACCCTTAACTGACTGCACCTGCCCACTCCTGGCTCTGTCAAGGCCCACTCCCCTTACTTCGTTGCTCCATGGGCTTCATGACATTTGCACTGTCGTTATTCGGCATGTGCTATAAACTTTAACATTAATAATACACGGACACATTTAATACTGTTGGAGTATAACGTCCACAGCTTTATTAATATGAATAAATTAACATATTTAGGGTCATTGTCATAAATGACATTATTTACTATCCCCCCGCACAATCCCCTGACAATGACCCTACCACATGAACAATAATTAACATCAATTACCAATAAACTTGTAAACATCCGGCCTACCAACGAGGCCCCATATCATAATGATAACTGTAGGGGTGTACCCAGACACCCCTACACCCCCAGGTTCGTCGCCACCGAAGAGCTAGAACCTACCAACCATGACACCGTCTGGCCTACTTCAGCCTAGGCCCTGGCCTGTACAGTTCCAATTCCCTGATAACTTCCAACTTAACCACGCCCTGTTCCGCCACAGCACTTGTCTTGACCCCTTAAGACCATGTGCGACCCCCACCACACTGAAACAGGGCTCGGGCTATGCCCTCCTGGAACCCCAAGTTCAGCAAGTCACACCCCACCTCCGACAGGTGTACTCCGTCCCTCCTAAAATAACCTGGCAACATGCCCTCCAATTCCCGATGCCTCACCACTACTCCCCCCATCCGATTAACAAAAACTGCCATAGACCTATTAATCTTCCCCCTGCATCGTGCCACCGCAGCAGGGTCCCTGGCGTGCCGCCATGTAAAACGAGGCACCATCTCGGACCACACCACCACCACGTCAGGGACCAGCTCCCGCAGCCGATCCATGTCCCTCTACATTCGCCGCAACAGTTCCCATTGGGGAATCAGCCCTAAGTCATTCCCCCCACCGTGCACCACTACCACATCCGGAACCGGACCCCTTGCCACTTTTCTAAATAAGACATTACTCAAGCTCTGCCAACTAAAACCTCGAAAACCAAACCAGGATAAGACCGCCCGTTCCAGAGGAAAGCCCAGCTGTGTTCCTTGTCTCCGAACTGCAGCCCTCTTCTGTGCCCAATAGACGAACGAGTGGCCCAACAACCAAACTTTCCAACCTGAAAAGAGACAAAATTAGTTACACCGCAGTGCCAGTGTCCCCCAGTCCCGGCCATTTGTCCCCTCAAAGTTCCACCATCCCGTCGGGCCTCACATACAAGCGAAACCGCACGGATTCCCACCTTCCAATCCTCTTGATCCGCTCGTCACCCAAACCTAAGCGTGCCGCCTCCGTAGCCTCACCGATACGGAACGAATGCGACCCGAATTGCATGGGCTGCAGGCCCAGCTTCACTTAGCCTAAACGAAAAATCCTAATGAATTGAAACCGTGACAGCGCCGTGCCGTCAGCGTGCAAGAAAAAACAACCGCTGACGTTAGGACGGATACCCAAGTACCCTGCTCCGCAGGCCACCGGGCACAACCCTGACCCCGGCAACTCGAATAGCACCACGGAGCAGCCTTTGCCGAAAACATCAGTTTTCGATCGGCCCAACCTAATCTGCACGCGATCACTCTTAACTTCCACATCACCGCGCTGCAAGCCACCAATTCCCGCCTTGTTGGTGCTAACCAACTCCCCGATCCGAAACGCCCCGAAAAACGCCCAGACAAACGCACCAGAAAAAAGGACCACCTCAAATGGCGAGGAACATAACCCCGGCAACGTTCCCACCAAACCTTGTAAGACCGCAAAAGACACCGGTCTCCTAACGTCCGTCGACGTCTTTCCCCTCCGAAAACCCCGAACCGCCTGCCGAACCAAGAAATGCTTTGTCAAATCTTCCCACCCTTGGAATTTAAACCAGAAAGCCAAGGCGGACATATGCCTGTCTACCATGGCCGGCGAAGCCCCCTTTGCAAACAAACGGCACAACAACCATAGAAAGACATCTAACCTATGGCCCACCGAAAGGTCCCCACCCACCTCCTCTACAGTTTCCTCCCATTCCTTCCAAACCTTAGCATAAGATGACCACGTGCTTGGTGCCAAGGATTTCTTTATGTATTCCCCAAGCACGATGTCCCGAGTCGCCACATCTCGTCTGGGCAGGCCTGCCCGTATTCCCGTGCCTCTAGAGCCGCTCCCCGAAAACGATCCCACTGAAAACGAGAAAGCGCATCAGCCACCACATTTGAGAATCCCGGAATGTGCCTAGCCCTGAATACTAAATTGGAAGACATGCAGAGGAGCACCAATTGCTGCAGTAGGCATAAGACCGGACGCGAAGATGCCGACAAACTGTTGATTGCCTGCACCACGGCCATATTGTCCGAATAAAACACGACTCGCTTGTTTGCTAATTCTGCTCCCCACAACGCTACCGCAACCACCACAGGAAAGAGTTCCAAAAATGCCAGATTTTTGATCAATGGGCTCGCCCTCCATGCCTCGGGCCATGCCTCGGCACACCACCGCCCCGAAAAATACGCCCCGAACCCCACGCTGCCCGAAGCGTCCGTAAAGAGCCCTACTGCTTCCGAAGACACCACTTGCTCCCGAAAAAAGGCCTTGCCATTGAAGTCCCTCAAAAAACGATCCCACACCTCTAAGTCCGCCTTCATGTCCGCGGAAACCCTGATGTAGTGCGACGGCATCCGTATCCCGCTCATCGCCCGCGCCAACCGTCTACAGAAAACCCTCACCATGGGTATGACCCTGCACGCAAAGTTCAGGCTCCCTACCAGAGACTGTAATCCCCTCAGCGTCACCTTCCGTGCTCTCCCGATCGTGTGAACCAAATCCTTCAGTTTGTGCAATTTGTCCTGTGGTAATCTACATTCCCCGATCTCCGAATCGATCTCCAAACCCAGAAAACTGAGACACGTGGCGGGTCCCACGGTCTTGTCCTCCGCCAAAGGAACCCCCATCGTCTGCGCTACCCATTGGAACACCCGTAGTATCTGCTTGCACCGGTCTGAGCCTCGAGGGCCGACACATAAGAAGTCGTCCAGGTAGTGCACAACCGTGCCCCCGGCCGATTCCCGTCGCACTACCCATTCCAGAAAAGTGCTAAACTTCTCGAAATAGGCGCACGATATAGAACAACCCATCGGCAAGCACAGATCCACAAAGAAGCCCCCTTCAAAACAACACCCCAAGAGGTGATGACATGACGGGTGTATGGGAAGCAGCCGAAACGCTGCCTCCACGTCCACCTTCGCCATCAGCGCTCCCCGCCCAGCTCTCCATACCAACTCGACTGCCCTGTCGAATGATGTGTAAGATACTGAACAGAGTGCCGCGTCGATGTCATCATTCACCGATGTCCCTTTAGGATACGATAAGTGATGAATCAACCTGAATTTGCCAGCCTCTTTTTTGGGGACCACTCCAAGTGGGGATATCCGCAACTCCGCTAGAGGCGGGTACGGGAACGGCCCCGCCATCCTCCCTAAAAGGACCTCTTTAGCCAGCTTGTCCCGCACTACCTCCGGGCGTTCCCGCACCGATTTAAGATTGGCACAAACCGCCCCTGGTTCCTTGACCGTGAAGGGGATCACGAAGCCCTCCCTAAAACCCCGCCACAAGAACGCCGCATCCTCCTGGTTAGCGTATTGCCTTAGCCAAGGCAACATCGCGCCTAACCTCACTGGGGACGCCCCCAGTTGCAGCCGAGGTGGCCGCCACCCCTGCGGTTCCCCCCCCTGCATTAAGCTTACCTTTCTTGAAGCATCTGCTGGCGCCGTGATTCCCTCCGCAGCCCGAACACTCATGCCTAAATCGGCATGAAGTACCCCACTTGCATTGACCCTCGTTGTATGTCCAGCATAGGCCCTTCTTTTGTCCCGCTGGCACAGCCATGCCTGAGGCTGTCCCAGCTGCCCCGAGAAAGGGTGCAGCCTTCTGCGCCATCATAATCCTCATCCATAGCGGCAGGTCCATTTGGTCCCACCGCATGGTAGGGTTGGCCGCCAAGCGTTGCCGAAACTGCTCATCATATTTCCACCATGCTAGGCCCCCATACGTCCGATACGCATCGCCTATTCCATCCAAGTAGCAGAACAGTTGCGAACAGCTCCCCGGCCTTTTTTCCCCTATTACACTAGCCAAGATGCAGAATGCCCTCAGCCAATTCCCAAAAGTCTTCGGTATCTTACGATACCTCCGCCTTTTTTCCTCTTCCTCCTTCTTGGTGTCCTTCTTATCCTCCTCCTTCAAGTCTAGGAATTCCTCCAAAGGGAGCAAGGAGAAAATTTCCATGAACTCCCCCTTCCAAATCTTTTCCTTGACCTCTAATTTCAGGTGACAACCTAGGGGGCCCGCGAAAGATACGTGTACGTTTTGACGTGCCGCGTCCGAAATGTCGCCACAACCGACTGCCGGCTCGGCCCCCCCATCCACCGCACCGGACGCCACCACCGCTTCGCTTGTCTCGCCACCGCTCGCTGGTTGGCCCACCGCCCCCAGTGCCTTAACCACCGTGTCAGGGGACCATACTTTTCCGAACTGCAATGGTGATTCCCCCCTCCCTGACTATGCCTCCAATAGTGTTTTTAAATAGCCCAATAACTGTCCGGAGTGTTGTGCAGATATGGACTCACCGTTGGAGACCCCGGCCGTGCCAGGCCCCGGGGATGCCGACCTTCCGTCCACCCGTTCAGGCTCCGGAGCATCCAGTTGACGCCGACTCCCATCCGCCTGATCCCTCCTTAGGACCGTAGGGGTAGCGCTCCGCGACCTGTAAGGAGAAGACAACCTGGGTAGTCTGTACTGCTGGGACCCTACCCGTCCTTCCTCCCTACGCTCCTTTCCGCGGTTCCAAGCTTCGCACTGCCTTGCTGGCCTAACTTCCCTGCTCCTGGCGACCCGCTGCTGTCCTAGCGCACTGTCACCCGAGGACCCAGATGCGCTGCGACGCCTCCGCCCCCGACCGTCCTTGGAAGCGGACCTCCTCCTCCCCACCCTGCAGCTGGCCCTGGAACCACTGCGCCTGCCATGTGATGGACTCCTGTCCCTGCTCCACTGCCGATCGGCTGACCTCCTGCTGCTGCTGGGCCTGGCGCTACCGCTGCGCCGCTCCTGTCCGTAATCCCCCCTCTCCATGGTCCCGCTGCGGTGCCCCCCGTGAGAGCAGCCTGAGGGGCCCATCCTTCCACTGCTACTGCTCCTGACCTCCCTATCCCGCGCTGTACCGTGTGGGTCACCCTTCTCCGCTGTACCTGGCCATCCGCTGGCCGCTGCGCCTGGTTCAGAGGCCCCCCGCACCCCCTGGCAGCCCGCTGGAACCCCTGCCACTCTCTGCCCGATCCTGTCGTCCTCCTGCCGCCCCTCACCCCTATGCCTGGCACTATCACCCGTCCTGGCCACATCTTAGGCCGCCCGCGAGCTGATCCCGCTGCCCAGGCCACCCCTGGGTAGCTGGGGGGCCGCCTGCACAGGAGCATCCCGCGTCCCGCCCGCCCCCTGCCCCTCAGTGACCAGAGTGGACTCACCGGGACGCCTCAATGAAGTGCTGCCGACCACGTGCTCCTCCGCTCTCCCAGCCGCCATTCCCGCCGTGCTGGAGCCCTCCTCTGGGGTACTTGTGCTGCCTGCCGCCATCTTGAGTGGGGCGCGTTTTCCGGCAGGCCGCGCTTTGCGGCCGTCCTCGCCTGACCGGCGCCGCGTCGCACAGGCGGCGCCGGCCGCTTTCCAGTGCTGTCCGACCCTCCCGCCTCCTGGCTGGGTGCCGACGGGCTCCTCCGCTGCCGTGGAGCGGGCGCCATGCCCGGACTCAAACGCTGGGGTGGCCGTGCTCTTCGCGCCGTCCTGCGCTCCGCTGGTGCTGGAGGGGGAACTGCAGCCCCCAGTTGTTCGTGCAGCCAGGCCAGCCCTCGGTCCTTCACTGCTGCTCTCACTCCGGCCAGGATCTCATCCAGGGACGCCATGGACCTGCAGAAAGAGAAAAAAGAAAAACCCCACAGACCTGTCACAACTAACAGGTAAGTGAAGTTCTGATTAAAATGGCCACTCTCTAAAATGGCCGTTATTTTAACCCCTTTTAATCCCGCCCCCAAGCTCCATTAGCTTAAACCCACCCTTAACTGACTGCACCTGCCCACTCCTGGCTCTGTCAAGGCCCACTCCCCTTACTTCGTTGCTCCATGGGCTTCAGGAAATGCTAGCAGAATGCTTGGTTGTATAGAGAGAGGTATTAGCAGTGCCATTGTACAGAACGCTGGTGAGACCTCACTTGGAGTATTGTACGCAGTACTGGAGACCGTATCTCCAGAAGGATATTGATACTTTAGAGAGAGTTCAGAGAAGGGCTACTAAACTGGTTCATGGATTGCAGGATAAAACTTACAAGGAAAGGGTAAAGGAACTTAACATGTATAGCTTGGAGGAAAGACGAGACAGGGGGGATATGATAGAAACATTTAACCCTCTAAAAATTTCACCATTCTTTAAGTGCTAGTCCAATGGCCAACAATTCTCTGTTACCAATATCATAGTTACGCTCTGCTGGAGACAACTTTCTAGAAAAGTACTTGCAAGGATGTAAAGGGGTATCCTGACTCTCCCTTTGAGAAAGAACAGCCCCTACCCCTGTTTCGGAGGCATCAACCTCCAGTATGAAGGATTTGCTAGTGTCAGGATGTACCAATATGTCAGCAGTTGCAAACATTTTTTTTAAGAAGCTCAAAAGCCTCTCTAGCTTCTTTAGACCATATAGTACAACTAGCCCCCTTACAGTGCCTTGCAAAAGTATTCACCCCCCTTGACTTTTTCCCTTTTTTGTTACATTACAGCCTTAAGTTCAATATTTTATTAATTTGAATTTTCTGTTATGGATCAGAACACAATAGTCTAAGTTGGGGAAGTGAAATGAGAACAATATATACATAAAACTATTTTTTAGAAATAGAAAACAGAAAATTGGCATGTGCGTATGTATTCACCCCCTTTGTTATGAAGCCCATAAAAAGCTCTGGTGCAACCAATTACCTTCAGAAGTCACATAATTAGTGAAATGATGTCCACCTGTGTGCAATATAAGTGTCACATAATCTGCCATTACATATACACACCTTTTTTGAAAGGCCCCAGAGGCTGCAACACCTAAGCAAGAGGCACCACTAACCTTAATTCTTACCAAATTGTACGCACTCCTAAAGTCAAGTTTAGTAAATATCTTAGCACCCTGGAGTCTGTCAAACAATTCGGAGATAAGGGGAATAGGATAGGCAATTTTTTGTTGATCTTGTTTAATGCCCTGCAATCGATGCATTGGCGTAATTCTCCATATTTTTTGGATACAAAAAAGAACCCTGCTCCAGCAGGCGAAGATGACTTACGTGTGTGGCCTTTAATTAAAGAATCTTTAATTAAGGACTTGGGAATTGTTATAGACAACAAACTATGCAACAATGTGCAATGTCAATTAGCAGTGGCTAAGGCCAGTAAGGTATTGTCATGCATGAAAAAGAGCATTCATTCTCGGGATGAGAAAATAATTTTGCCGCTTTATAAATCACTGGTAAGACCACCTATTGAATATACTGTGCAATTTTGGGTACCTGTTCTAAAGAAGGATATTATGGCACTAGAAAAAGTGCAGAGGCGGGCTACAAAATTAATAAAAGGAATGGAACATATTAGCTATGAAAAAAGGTTAACAAATTTAAACCTCTTTAGTTTAGAAAAATGTCACCTGAGAAGGGATATGATAACATTATACAAATATATTTGAGGCCAATACAAACCTTATGTGGAAATCTATTCACAAACCAGACTTTACATAGGACACGAGGTCATGCATTTAGAGTGGAAGAAAGAAGGCAAAAAAAGTTGTTGTTTTTTTTTACTGTAAGAACAATAAGGATGTGGAATTCTCTGCCTGAAGAAGTGGTTTTATCAGAGTCCATACAGATGTTCAAACAGCAACTAGATGCATACTTGCAAAAACACAATATATTCAAGGATATAATTTTTCAATGTAGGATAATAGCTGCTTGATCCAAGGATTAATCTGACTGCTATTTTGGGGTCAAGAGGATTTTTTTCCCTAGTTTGTTGCAAGTGTTTCAAACTGGGTTTTTTTTTTACTTCTTTTGGATTAACAGCAAAAAAACAAATGTGAGGAAGGCTGAACTTGATGGACACAAGTCTCTTTTCAGCTATGTAACTATGTAACCATGATATACTCTTTCATGATTCTACTCTCCTGTGGGGATAGGCATGCCCACTCTTTTAGTGATGGGTAACATGCATCTCTCAGTACAGTCTTTACCCCATTCCAGTATTTCCCCCTTAGCCTAGTCAATATGAGGGTTGTGCTTGATGAACCCCTTAAGGTTCTTAGGTGCGGAAGCTTTCCGGACGTATGGGGCAAGCATCTCTCGTATGTCCTTTTTTGCCACAGTATAAACAAAGACCCTCCTTTCTCCTATACTGTTTCTCTGCCTCAGACAGTCTAGTAACCCCTAACTGATTAGGTTTAGGTTCAGACTGTACAGAGAGGCCAAGGACAACAGGTTTGGAGAAACGAGGTGCCAGTGACATAGCCATACATCTGGTTCTATTTCTGGTAATTTCCCTGGTCCTAATTCTATTATCGATCTGCATCACACATGTGATTAATTAATTTAATCTCTTCGGTAGATTGTCAAGAATAGTCTTGGATAATCCTTCTTTAAATGCAGAGATCAATCCGCTATTAGTCCAGTCTACCTCAGAAGCCAAGGTGCGAAATTCTATGGCATAATCTGACATAGGCCGGTTCCCTTGTTTGATACGCATTAGGGCAGTGGAAGCGTCATCCTCCCTGCCTAATGGATCAAATGTTAATTTAAATTCCTGGTAATTATAAGCTATACTCCTATTACTCTCCCATAATGGATTGGCCTAAGTTAAGGCTTTACCTTTAAATTGGTTCAAGTAACCAATCTTAGCCCTACCCTTGGGAAAAGATGCCGGTGAGGCCTCAAAGTAATACTCAATCTGGTTGAGAAATCCCTGACATATATATATATATATATGTATATATATAAATTTATATTTGTAAAGTTAAAGAGGCACTGTCATGCCGAATCCTGTTTTTTTTTTTTAAACCCCCCTCCTGCCTCTACTACATCTAACTGACACCCTAGTCACCCCCAAAAGTGACCTATTTTTTATTCCTTATTTTCTGCCCTGATCTCTATTCAGGGCGCCGCCATCTTTGTGTGGGTAGTTGAAGTCCCTGTGGGACATGTCATCAGCCCACACTAGGCAGACTGTGAGATTCCCGCACATGCCCAGTGAAACACCTGGACATGCGAACAGGAATTTCATCTATTCATCCATTCATCAGACAGACGAATGAATGAATAGAAATATCAGCCGAACAAACAAACACTGAGTATCAGTGTTCGTTTGTTCGCTCAGTTTATTACAAGGAGGGAGCTACCGGCGTGCAGCTACCTCCTTGTAATATGTAAAGATAGAAGCGGCAGGGAGCAGTGCTCCCCACCACTTCATAAGCCCACCAGGTACCCCCTCACTCTATGGGGGTCAATATGACCCGCATAATAGCACAAGGGAGATTAAAATCTCCCCAATGCCCCTACTCGCTATACCGCGAGTAGGGGCATGTCCACTAAACAGTGAGCAGCGGGTGGGGGCCATAATGATAATGAGGGGGGGACCTACTGTCCACCCCCCCTCCGGCCTCCACCCCTGGGCTGCGGGTGGGGGCCATAATGATAATGGGGGGGA